TTTACTTTACGCAAGATTGGCGCCAAAAAAGGAATAAACGATCGATTTGTTAAGGTTTTACCTGAGAATGTGAGAAAATTTTTGCGCAGGAATGTAACTTACGGTTGTCATCATCTTTATAGAAACTATCAAGCCATTATAACCCCAGTAATTAATTTAGAATCGCATTTAATCTCTAGAGGAATAATTTCTTACCCTCCAGTCACCGATATTACATAAAAAAGCTTTTAGGAGTAGCTGTTTACATTTCATTCGTGATGAACGGCATCGCGAAGTTAGTTTCAAAGCCATCGTTTTGGGACTACGAGAAAGGCATGTGGATAGTAGAGGTGCGAGCCTCTGCGAAGCAGAGGTGACGCACTGGTATATACATATACCCAAGACATTCTTACTTGTCAGTATTCCGCAAGCAAGTTCAAGAATCGTAACAGCTAATTTTTTCAGCTGGTTCACCAGTTCCACGTACAACTCTGCTCCATCCGTTGTTCATCCTTCTACATACGATCTGCTTTGCGAGCAATTGATTCTGGCGTCCTTTTCACGAAGTGATCGGCCTCTTGGTACTTCGCTTTCACAGAAAACCCTTTGTATCGCGGAGACGGAACACTTCTTAAAGGCAGCGTCCAGGCAGATTTAAAGCTATGGGGATTTTACGTGGAAAGTGCTTTTGGGAATTTGCTTTTGGCCCTAACTAAGGTACTGCCCAAGCGACAATTCAGGCAGTGCTTAACGGCTGAGAATTCCTCTCGAAACTGGATTCCGCGATCGTATTCCGCATGGATTCAAGGCGCAATGCGTGGATCCTGGCGCGGAGCTGCCATGAATCCATGCGAGTACGATCGCGGGGGTCCAGTTCCGAGAAGAGTATCTCAGCCGTTAGAGCACTATCTGAGCTGCAGGTTGGGCCGTAGCTTAGTTAGCCCAAAATTACTATGCACGTGATATCCCCATGGTCCAGACTTGCCTGGACGCTGCCTCTAAGTACAAACTGCTAAGAGAGGTTGTTCGTGTCCGTCATTTCTTCAGTGGCTTTCTGGGTTGTTGAGCTTTCGACGTGGTCCGCAGTGTTGCGCCAGGTCTCTCCTGCATAGCCGAGCACTGAAGGAAGATTTTGATTAAATGGACCGAAGTTCTGAGCTCGCCAGCTTGGGTGCTTCCTTTTGAGTCTCAGGCAGGCGCTATACTCCTCGAGGAGTGTTGCATGACGACGGGCGATCCCAATATCCACGACTGGCGTTTCGGCGACTGCACACTAGATAGCTATCATTGCTGGCATGAGCTTACATGTCAATCAATACCTATCCAACCTGTAGTCGCCAATCTGGCGATCGCCAATCGCTACTATCGGGTGAAACTTTTCACCGGAGCTGGATGGAGCGATGATAGCTCGATGGAGCTCCATCGCTCATTTTGTCGCACGTCCTTTTTCCTGGCTTAGTTTCCTGCAGAGCGATCACCTGGTAGTTATTGTACTCTGCAGCGTTGAGAAGAGCCTTCAGGTCGTTGTTTGTGGAGACCGTCTCCTGTCCAGACTTATAGGTTCGAAGGGTAGGCTCGCAGACGCATCGTTTTTGTCAGATCCAAATGGCGATGAACAACCCGACGTCGGTCTTGTTACCCTTAAGACAATAAGTGGAGTCCGATATAAAAGTTCTTCCTAGTCGTATTACTATTACTGGTAATAATCTTTTCCCCACTAGAGCAGACTTATCTAGCCGCGCTTTTGCCTTCTAATGCTTTTGGAATCATTTCAAAAAGTTCCTTTCCTACCATTAAACACTCGTAAAAGAGAGGACACTTTAAGACGCAGTACAGTGCAAATTCAGCACCTGAATAACTTTACAACTCAATCTCCACCATTGAGCAGACGTGCTCGCGTGATGAAACTCCATATTTCTGACAATGAGAAGGCTTCTTGAAAAACAAGCCAGAAAATTGAGATCTAAAACGTGTACAAAAACACTTCGGAGGGCGTTACGTCGGCACTTCAGTCCTCTTACCGAGAACGGACCAATCTTTCAATAGCTGAGTTCACGAAATCTTGAGCCAGTAGAAACCGTTCTTGTATAATGTCCTGGGGCGGTATTTATTAATCTCCCGCAAATATTTTCATAGTTTGGGAACCTACTGCGGAGAGCAGCACGCCAGCAGCGCGAGCGGGCGCATATCCAGAACGCCTGCTGGCGTAAACTTTGCCTATGATAAAGACATGGAAACCCATCGTTTTTTATTGTTCTTTTCTTTCCTTTTGGTCATCAAGCACAGTTTTTACATTTATATGCACATTTGATGATCACGTCAACAACTGTAAGGGGGGATAGAGGGATTAAGATCATTTTTCTTAAAAGCGCTCAAACGGCCTATTTGCTTCAAATACTAGTGATTTCCTTGAGTGTTTTGTAATGTACGACGATTCATAGCGGCGAGATAAGTTAGAAATGCAGAAATGTATCAAAAATTTTGTTTTTTGGTTACGAGAACAGTATATATTAAAGCCTGTATGCACGTGCATCCCGCGGGGAGATTGAAATGATCCCCGCTGGGATCCCCTCCCCACGCGAACAACCCCCGTATGCACAAAGACAATATCTGACAAGGGATCCCCTATGGGGAAGGGAAGTGAACCCCATTATGCACAGGAGGGGATCAAGGGGGGAGATCACCTTGCTTCCAAATTCTCTACGAAAAACTCTTTCTTATTTTCATCTTTTGACTGCAACTCATCTTCATCTTCTCAATTTTAATAATTTAGGATTGCTGAATGCGCGCATGCAGTGACTGCGCTCGGCGCACCTAAAATGATTTTTTATACTCCCACGATGTCCCTGCTTTCTTGAATGCTGCCCACTTTCGCTCATGCTGCCTCATTTCAGCGTAAAAATGTTGGACTATAGAAGTCAAGGTGTCTCTGCACGGGAATGGGTAGAAGACGTTGTGCTGCCGACAAGGAGACGGGGGTGCCGCACGGGCACTCAAAGCAGTATTTTAACATAACAGAAGCTGCAAATTGTACCAGCTCTCCATAAAGGCTGTAGCTATTACGATATATCGTCCGTTACCTCAAGGAAATGATCCCCAGCGGTCATCCCTGCTATGCACGAGGGGAACGCTGGGGAGGGGATCACTCTCCCGGAAATCTCTACTCAGAAATAAGCCAATCTGCTAATTTTTTGGTTTTTTTCGAAGCAATTTATGTTGGGATAAGAAGATAAGGGCAACATAACACATGCTATTATAGTTACAATGCGTTCGAATAGCCTACATGGATAAAACTATCTTGTCATATGAAAACTGCGAAGATCTCGGAAACGACCAAAAACTCCTCCAGACGTTCGAAATTGGCAGATAATTGCTCGAATCTCTTCGCGAAAACCGAAAATAGAAGAGAGAGATAAAATTGCAAGCTACAAGTCACTGGGAGAGGAACCCGGCTTTGAAAGAGCCTTTTTCATCAAATTGAACGAAATGCTTTGTAATAACTGATTAGAACCAGATTATTCGCTCCTCTGGCATGTACACGGTTGAACCCCTACTTCGCTGCAGGGGATGTCGATCCCCTCCCCTGCGTTATTTATTACATTCGTGCATACGGGGAAGGAAAGGGAAGGATCCCACCAGGGTTCGTTCTATCAAAACCTCCAAAACCAAATGCTAAATCTGAGGCAGCGAAACAGTACAGCAAACTCTCAAACGCTGAAAACCACGAAAACTACAAAATGCTGCGAAGCACATGGGCACAACACAATTGCAAGAAAACCTTAACATGAACTGCGAAATAGAACACCCTACTTCAAAAATCAGCATTATTGCTATTGACAGCACGTAGCAAGTATAACGAAGCTTTAGAATAGTAATAATACGGAGAACAAAGGGCGAAGGAGGGAGAGATAAGTGGGAAGGGTGGGAGGAGAAGAGTGAGAAAGGGACAAATGCACGCGAATACTTTTTTGTACATTTCGTTTCAAAGGCCATTTACATATAAGAATTGACCAAAAATAACCTTTTCGGCGAGTTCTTGTAGTAGCCGTGAGGTACAAGCGACACCGCAAGCACAACATCCCCGCTGTAAGTGCAGTGGAGGGGATCGTTCCCCTGGGGATCAAGCTCCCTCCCCTTTCCAGCGGGAATGTACGCGCATACGGGCCTAAATGGTATAAAATGGAAGGCTGGAATAATCCATATCAATTATCGGAAATTTCCATCACAATCATACTATCTGGATCTCACCTAGGACACTACATTGGTTCAGGGGTCCGATCTGGCAAACTTGGCTATGTCAGGCACGACAGGCTCGATCTCGACATATCTTGCTCTGCTCCCCCTTCAGGGGATGGAGGACTATATGTTGTCGAAAGCGGGTAGTCACGCGGACATCTGCGACGAAGTACGCGGCTTCACACATCAGAAATATAGCGGATTTGTATCGGCTGTCCGCGCGGGGTGGAGGCTATTGGCGACATATGGTACCCTACCTTCGTTCAGGCTATGCTAAATAACCTCACAGAAATCACAGTTTGGCACTCTCGCCTGTTCGGGCTATATAACAATGTAAAGTGCCCGAACAGCTAGCGGGAGGCACCCCCATATTTGATCCTCTTGATCCACTTGACCCGCTTGATCCGCTTTGTGCAAAACGCGCGCACACAGCAGTTTATCGTTTGGCGCCGCTAGGCAAAGAAAAATTTTGTATTGTTGCGCAAATTCGCTGTACAGTCTACCCCAATCCTAACCAGGCCAAAATTGGCTTGGCGGGAGTGCGCGTCGCGAGGGTTTCGCGCCACTTCTGCGTCTAGCTAGTCTGCTCTCTCCTCAATCTCTTCGCTCTCTGCGACAGTGCGCGTATGCAACGCAAACCCCTAACGCTGCGAGCGCGCAAATTCAGCCGACGGTTCGGCCTGATCCCGATTGGGGCAGACTGTACGCGACGCCAAACGCAAAATAGTGACTCGCGTTTTGTACGAAACGGATTAAGCGAATTAAGTGGATCTGGGGGACCAAGTATGGCAGTACTGGAGATTGATAAATACCCTCTGCTCAGAGCACGCATCAAAACAGGTCAAATTAAATCTGAACCGCGTATTCGATGTCGTTCGGGCAAGGTTTAATCCAACGTAACTCTTGCATCCCGTCACAACAAGTCATGTCGATCACATGGGCAGTCGAAAAATAGTGCGTCTTGCGCGGAGACACAGAGAGATCTTGACCAGCACAAGATTACGTCTAGTACGCCTTGAGTCGTGATTATTGTTCATAGGATAGTATACAGTCTGTCGCAATCGGGATCAGGCCGAAGCGTCGGCGCAATTTTGCGCCTCGCAGCGCTAGCGGTCTGCGCTGTATATGCACGCGGTTGGAGAGAGCCAAAGGACTGAAGAGAGGGCAGAGAAGCAGGCCGTGGGCGTAACCGCGAAACCCTAGCGACGCGGACTCCCGCCATGCCAATTCTGGCCTAATTAGGATTGGAGCAGTAGCATGAGAACATTTGAAATGCAAGTCAAATGCCATAGATAACAACAGCTGATAGCGCGCATTCGTGAGGCGCATAGCTACCTTTTTTCCTTTTGTCATTTCTTCTGTCATTTGCTCTGGAACTCAAATAAGGTGAGCTGACTTCGATTAACATGCCATCGTTTATGCTGCCAATCTAGTGCTATTGTTTTTCTTTCTCATCTTCGTAAATACTTGCATATTAAGCTGTTTTCATCAAAACTCTGTCTGTTTTTTTTGCTGTTTACTTGTTGCGCACCCGGTGGTTTCCTTTCGCATAGAAATCATTTGGTGTCGTGGCATTTGGTGCTGTAACTGATGAAATGGCACACACTTGTGCCAATAACATTAGCAAAAGTTCGAAAATTTGGATATTTTCAACATCCGCGAAATGTCCGCAATACACCAAAAGCTCCTTGATATTTGTATTCAGTGAAATATCAAAATATTTGTAATCAGTGACATATCAAAATATTTGTAATCAGTGAAATATCAACAGACGTTTGTTGGTTTTTCAATTTGCAAAAAAATCACTCCACTTGTAAAGTGGCCCGACGTCTAAGCATGTTGTATGCGACACTGCGCCTGCGTTATCTGCACCATATGTAACTTGCCGGATGTCAGAGATGTAGCGATTATAACCACCATGTGAAGTTGTATACCGCAAATGAGGCCTAGCACAAAAGAGGCTGCTTACTGCTTTCAACATGTTGGCTCAAGCGCCTACCGTACCCACCTTACGCATCATTCTTTTTTCGGCGCTATTCGGCTATCCGGGCCCCAAAATTTTTTTTATCATAGATTTCGCTCAAACTTAGCAAAGGGGGGGGGTATCTGACATGCTGATCAAGAATATCACCTTTTCTCCGCAGGAAAACGCCTCCCGGCAGGGTTACGGTAGGTATACGGTAGAGGGTCAAAATCATAGATTTGGATGAAACTTGGCCCAGGAGGTTATTCGGCTCGCTTACGCCGAATATCACATTGGTTTTGTACCGTAGCGTCATTTTCTCGGGTTACGGTGGGTATACGGTAGGAGGTCAAAATCTCAAAATCTCAGAATCCGCTGTAACTTCGCACAGAGGGGTTTTTCGACATGCTGATTAGAAATGTCACACTTTCTCCGCACGAAAACGCCTCCCTGCATGTACGGTAAATTTACGTAGGGGTCAAAATCACAGGTAAATGTATCTTTCCCGTGCGCTTTGCTTAGGCAAAAGCCGCAGCAGGGTGTGTAGCGCGCGGCGGTGGTCGTGTGTGCAAAGCTTCACGATCATCCAGATCGCCGTACACCCGTTTCAGGCAGAATTAGTTTTACAATCGTCCGTGTAGCAACCGCTGCCCGAGAAAATGACGCTACGGTTCAAAATCAATGTGATATTTGGCATCAGCGGGCCGAATAACCCCTCTGAGCCAAGTTTTGGGCAAGTCCGTGATTTTGGTCCTCTACCGTATACCTACCGTAACCCCGCAGGGAGGCATTTTCCTGCGGAGAAAATGTGATATTCGTGATCAACATGTCAGGTAATCCCCCTCTGCTTGGTTTGAGCAAAATCCATGACAAAAAAATTTTGGGGCCCGGATAGTCGAATAGCGCCCTTTTTTCATATTCTCACAAAAACATTAGTCAAAGTACAGTGACTGCGCGCGATGCTGGTTCGTTGCGTGTTGTGGGCTGACGCGCAGCTTTTGCAGAAACTGATGTACGGTTACACCCGTCATTCAACTTGTTTAAACTAGTATGGCCTCGCCTTCTTTACGTTGCTACTATTCCGAGGGATCACTATGGGACCCAAAAAATCTTGATACCTTTCAAAAGAAAAAAAACGCACTGCAGAAAGCAACAGACAGAGTTAAGATATTTAAAGCCAAGTTGCAGTGCACCGGTGCACATACAGCCTTTGCGCATACCAAGTATCTTCCTCTTTATTTAATACTAGCTGACAAACAGGCTCCGCCCGGCCCTGTCAATAATATATTCGTAATCAGTATGCTCACTTACCCCCCCCCCCCCTTGTGCTAACTCCCAGCCCCTCAGCAGGCTCACTTACCCCCCTGTGCTAACTCCCAGAACCGTAGCCCGAACGTTTTGAAAAATCGGTAAGATCGATATCGATCGCTGACGAAAAGTAGCCTGTGACATCCGCCCGGCCCCGAAGGGTATGTGTGTAAGGTTTGGTCCGAATCGGTTCAGAAATGGAATTTTCTATTCGGAACATACGTACAGACAGACATACATACAGACAGACAAACATACAAACAGACAACAGACTCAGCTTTATGTATAAGACATTTGAAAGTTATAAATACGTGTTCCGAGAGCATCCTCCTAAATCTCATAAATTTGGTGTTCAATGCGCATCCCTTTCACTTGAAGCCGGATGTCACCCCAGAAGCAGAAATTAGCTTACTTTGAATTAATATGCGCTCTCCTATATGACTTCACTATTTAGACTGAAATAGACATACCGGCACCAACCATTGCGCGTGATGATAATCGTAGCAAATGGGCAGCCACAACAATTGCAACAAAGGTAACCGTTTGATTTAAATCAGTTAAGTTTTGACAAATTTGCAATTTGTTTATTCATATTTACAGTCCATCAAAGTCTTGTCGAGAGAATTTGCCGCTAATAAGAAGTACAGACCAAGTGGATTTACGACTGTAGCCTATGATAAAAATGAACCCAAGAACAGGTAGTTTAGACAGGAAACTTCTACAAACATTAGAGGCATTATTTTAGATATAACGATATCATCTGCATAGATGCTACTCGAGTAATTTTGAAGGATCGCCCACCAGATGAAGATTACATACATGCAAGCTGGATGACTATGCCAGATCGGTTCAGGTATATCTGTACGCAGGTCAGTAGAGCTCTTCCTAAAGCTGCCCGCAAGCTAAGTGGTTATGACATGCCAAATCTCGCTTTGTGGACGTAAAGCAGGATGCAGCAAAGTCAGAAAGATACTCTGCTATCGGACAAGCATTCAGCCAAGTTTTGCACTTCACACAAAGGTTGCTTGCGATTCTAGGGACCTTTGTTAGAGACCTTGGAAGATTTTTGGCATATGATTTTTTGGGAGAAAAGTACAGTTTTAGTACAATTGTGCAATAATATCGAAGGTTGGTTAATAATGTTTGCTTTTGGAAGATTTGCAGAATAAGAATTTTTAGGAAAGCAAAGTGTAGGCAATACTTTCCTAAATCCAAAGGATCGACAGAGAGCTACGGTCCTTACAGGGTTACGAATAAGGGCACAAAAGCCGATCCATATGAGGACGTCAAACAAACAGTGCTTGAGGTGAAATGCAGGTACAAGAATTTTTTCGCTTTTGAAAAACCTATTGCGAAATTTGCAGCGGTAGATCGTTTACGGTAAACCACTTTGCATACTTGGTATGGCCTGACCATACTGCCCCATCGGACCCCGCCCCAATGGTGGGTTGCCTTAAGCTGTGCCGTCAGTTGGCGGAGAAAAATCCCATAACTGTGCATTGTTCTGCTGGTATAGGAAGATCAGCCACTTTTGTTGGTAAGCAAATCTCATGGTCTATCCAATATTAGTTGATTGACACGCATTTTCAGCCATTGACTACGCTTGGCAAAAAAATCAGAGACAATCATTCTGTGCAGATGGTAGAGATTCTGAAAGATTTGAGGGGCCAACGTTTCCAGGCTATACAGTCTCCCATACAATACATTTTCCTTCATATGTGCCTGCTCGAGTTAGCTGTTGAAGTGAATTTTTGCAAAGAATTTGACGTTGTACCGCATGGTACATGTTACAGGACAACTTGATTGCTCGGAAAGGAAAATATTCGCCGTACTTGAGTTCATACCAAACCATGCTTAGAAAATACAACAAGAAGGTGGCAGCGGCAGAAGCGAGGGCAGAAGCGCAAGGAAAATGAGTGAACGCAGGAATACAGTATCATTAAAGTTTAGAGATTATCTTCTATCAATATAACAAAGTCATTTGAAGCAATAAAAAGTTTTGTATATGCAAAGTTGTATAAGCCAGTAAATAAGAAAAAAGTTGATGCTTTATTTCTTATCGCACAGGTTGGTATTGTAAAACTTCTGCTGGACCTTACGTTTCGAACCAACGGGGAACAAGTCCAAAATAGGAGTCCATCGAAAGTTGCGTATTTCAATAATGCATTCGTTCTTTCCAGCAACATGCTTAGCACTGTTGTTTGGATAATCAATACAACTTCAAAATGTTTTCATTCATTTCAACAAAAGAAGAATAACTTAGAAAAAAAAAGAGAGTCGGCTGCCGGGGATCATTAATGGATCACACAGGCTGAAAAAGGCTGTTTGTACAGCTCTCTCTTCTGCTCAATATGTTTGTAATGAAGGATAGTAAGAACATTCACAGATAGGTAGACACTGTGAAATCCAGATATCTGGAGCTGGAGAATATGAAGTTTCTTCCAAGCTGCGATTTCCTTTTGCGGAGATGTCATGTATACTGCCTTCAAATACAATCTTTCAGAAACATCGAAGTTTAAAGGAGCTATAGTTAACCTTAGACTTGGTAAATCGCACCACTCCAGTGTTACGGACATCTTTGTATTGTGCTCAGGGAGTCCTGCTACTTATAGTTTGCGAAATCAAGCTCACATAGCGAGAGCAACGGTGCAGGTCACTTGTTATCGTCAGACATTCATTTCTTTTATTGCTTGCATTGCAAGAGTTGCATATTCACACTGCTTAAAAGGGTCTTTCGCGCTATAATTTCTGTCATGCTCAAATAATTGCTGTCACGCCTTTCGAACTCATGCTTTCTTAAGGCCTCGGGCGGAGTTGAGTGATTTTGGTCGTCGCGATTCAATTGCTACAAGACAAATGTTTCGAGTTCATTGCATGCCGATCTTCTTGATTTCGGTTGTGATAATTTTCCAACACGAGTAATCGTGACAACTATCACAACTGAACAAGAAGACCGGCATGCAATGAACTCGTAACACTTATCTTGTAGTGACTATCAAATCGCGTAAACTCTGTCCGAGGCCTAATGGAGATGACAAGTTTCCTCTCTTTATTTTAGCCAAGCATTCAACTACCTTAGTGCCTGAATATCTATCAGTTTCTCCACTATACGCACCATTCTGCAACTCAAACATTCCAACTGGTGTACAATTTCAGTTTGGCGCAACCTTTTAGATTCCGTGAGGACAGACAGTGCAATTTTTTGTTACACATTCAACATCGTAAACTCTGTTTCTGAAGAACCTATGTTAGATGCAGTCTCTAAGAAAAAAAGTCAGCATGACTTCATTTCGCAGCTGTGCTCTCAGAATGCATTATGCTTCGTCGTCTCTATAGGAAGCAAATGGTATGCACAAAGTATCGTTCCTGTTGCAAAAAAATGGAACACACCAAAAAGACCAAAATTCCCGTGTGCATACCATTTGTTGCTCCATTTTGTGGAAATGTTATGTCATGCCATACTTTGTAAAAGAATTAGGTTCACTACTAGCAGACCTGTGAGAGGTTTTTGCAATAATTTCGGCAACGAGAACGCAGATGAAGGCAGCCAAGGAAACTTCAAAGAAAAAGAGGACTGATATCCTTGAAGAAAGTTCTTGTTTTTGTTCGTAGACGAAATCCCTTTACTCTAGCGACACTGATAGATTTTAATCAACGAAAAAAAAGAGATTGTTGCTGTAAAACTTTACCCACCGCTGCAAGAGTGGCGCATTTGAGACGAGGCTTAAAAGCGGTTGGCTAGATTGCACTATCATATTTATTACATCGGACGTCGGGAAATGCAAGCAGTAGTTCTATATCAGAGAAAATACTTGTACAAAGAGATTCGGTGGTTCTTGCATTAACCAGAAAAGAGGTGGGAATTTTGTTTCCAATGAAATCTTCTGCCAAGATCAGATTTACGGCGCATACCTTAAAGAGTCTAAAATATACAGTGCTGAACAAAGTTATAGGTCCACTCTAAAAAGTGCCATAACTCACTCTGTTGTCAATAAAATGTTCCAAAATTTGGTACAGCCGTGTGTTTACCAGCCTACTATCAGTCATCAACGTGGGTCTCGTTTTCGTCTAATTATTCAGGAAAAAATTGAATATTTTGAAGAAAGCAGGTTTGAAGGCTGGACAAAATTATAGGTTCACCTAGAGTTTTTACTGATTAAAGCACTCTTAGCTCCCCAATTTTTTTAGATGGGTACACATCCAAAAACGTTAAACAGCTGCTTTAGTCAAGCTGTGTCATAGCTCCAAAAAGAACTGATTATCTGCTTTTTTGCCTTGAAAATGGTTTCACATGTATTTCGCTCCACAAACCTGCTTTGAGTAAGAAATTCTGCAGTTTCTCAGCTGGATCGGAAGCGACGGGGTTCTATATATCTTCTGGATGCTTTTTGACCTGAACATTGGGAAAAAATCCGACTTTTTGTTGCTATAGCAAATCCGATATTGACAATACTGCAATTCTGAGTTTAAATTTCTGCCTTCAAACTTCTTTTACGATGTTCTCATAAGCATAAAGTAAAGTAAAGGCATTGTTTCTACGAAGGAGAGTCCGTATTCCATGGTTACAACTTTCTAGAGATCCTGGCATTCGAGTATAATTACGAAATCACCCTGCAGAAACTGATTACGACACGCACCAAAGCTATTTGTGGCTTCGACCAAAATTTTCAGAAGAATCATGTGTTAAAGTACAGTACAAACACCATCATTACGTTGCACACACAACTCATGTTTCCGATAGAAGCAGGCAGCTCTGTGGACACTTGCGAGTATGGCGAACAGCTTTACTTTTGTGTAAAGCATGCTTCTACAATATCCTGAGGTTATAATGACAATGCATAAAGGGTTTTAGGGCAGAAACTGAGGCTTACTCTCCCGATTGAGTCGATGTCGGATCTGCTTCAGCAGCAAAAGTCGGATTTTTTCTTAAAGAACACGTCAAAAAGCATCCCGAAGGTAGATAAAAACCTGCCCTTCCGATCCAGCTGAGAAACTGCAGAATTTCTTACTCAACGCACGTTTGTGGAGCGAAATACATGTGAAAGCATTTTCAAGGCAAAAAACAGATAATCAGTTCTTTTTGGAGGTATCGCGGCTCTAAGCGCGATCTCTACCGTACTCCTTTTTCCCATAGCTTTCTTATCCTAGTATTCATCTAGTACAGAATGTTGAATCAAGCGCGGAAAGAGCAAAGGGCAACACGTATAAAAAGACAATGGCAACAACGCGTGATTCATTTTCTCCATCTTGATCATTTTGTGTGTTTGGTTTATTATGCATTTATCATTTTATTAGGTTGTCCCGAAAGTTTTGTCGGTTTTTTTCATCGCTCACCAAACCTCATAGAACACCAATCCATGGACGGCTTAGGTGTCATTCTATTCATTTTTGTATCCTCTTTCTTATAGCTATGTTTGTTCTCTGATCTACCCCGTCTTTACGATGTTATCGCCATGGCTTTCTGAGCACCTCAGCAGTAGCGCCAAAAATTTCCTGAATTTTCAAAATTTTTATCGTGATATTTTCGATGAGCGCTGGTGACTGTTATATAGGGCAAACCTTTGGCTACATTGCACTTACTTTAGATTACGTGGGCCACGTTTATAAAGTTCGTAATAATTATTTATTTGAGAAAAACCGCGGCTTTTTGAACACGTTTTATCATGTAAAATTACCGAAAATTCCAAAAAGCTGATTTTTGAAGCAATCAAACTTGGTTATGTTGCATAAATGATTTTAAATAACGAACAAGTTTGAATTCGCAAAAACTTAAAAGCTTTCATGCTTTTGCTGCAATTGCGCGTTTCATGACTTTGCTAAAAACCAGGGCCTCCGGAGAAATAATTTTTTTGAAGTCAAAATCAGCAGATTAGGAGAATCTAAAAATATGTACATGTAGCCCGAGAGTTGCTCTATTTGACCCATACTTAGTCTTTTTCGGAACTTTGTAATGAAATTTTTGAAAATTAGCTCAACTTTGAGCAGGTAAAATTGACAAGTGGAGAATTTTGGCAATTATCAAAAAAAGCATAAAGTGCGGTTCATAATTATACGAACAGCTTGTATTTTGAAAGTTTTTGAACTTTTTGGAAGAAACTTAAGAAGCCGTTGGTACCATGCGATAGAGCACAGCCGAAAACGGTACATGATTCACAAGAATGGAAATCGATGTCAATCTTAGGAGTGTTTTTGCGCCTGATGCGAATTTTGAGCGGTTCATAATTATACGAACACCTCAAACAAAGGTCCATTTTTCATTCAAGATTGCAATCTTTCGAGTCCAAATTTTTTGTGGAGTTACAGTAACAAAGTCTGAAACATCCGCTACACATTGAACCCAGTGCAGTTCAAAAAGAGGATCTTTACTTTTTTTCGGATTGCTCTAAATGATTTTGGAGTGATTGCGCTCCAAAAACATCCGTTCTCCTGTAGTTCACGCACTCTGATTAGTTTCTATCAAGGCTATGCGATAAAATAAGCTCCTTCGATAAGTATTTTGTTTGACGCTTGGAAAATCTTTGCGTTTCCGTGCCGTTTTTCAACCAAGTTCCAACTTCACCCTAGAATTAGCACGATTTCAAGCCTCTAAACTCAGCTTCTGAGGCCCTACAATGAAGTAAGCTTATGGTATGTAGAAGTTCACAAAACAGTGTATTTGGCTAAAAAAAATCAGCAGCACTGAGCGTTTGTTCCGGCCATGCAGACGTCATTTCACCAAAACCACTGTTTTTACTATTGCAGGTACACCTTTGTTTGGTTTGTAGCTCCATAACCTCAAGATCAGTTCTACAAAAAACCCAAAAACTTTGACATGGATACATCATCGTGTAAGCAATGCAGCTGCTTCATATCAAATGTTTGTGCGGCAGAAAAGCTGAGTTTTGAGGCTCAAATCGCGCTAACTTTAGGGTGAGGT